ATTATTAGTCTATGAGAAAACGTTAGATCAGGGAAAAACTATTCCCACTATCGATATTAAATACCTGTTCCACATCTGACTGCGCAAATAAGGTGATCGAAATTCTTATACGTGACACCGTCAGTACCACAGATAGGATTCTCCTCAAGGGTTACGGCACAGCTTTGAATGCATTTTGCCCGCGAGTCGACTGACAATCTGTGAATTAAAATATTATTAACAATGTAGCGTAAATTGGAATGTTTCTTTGTAAAATTAAAAATAAGGTATTTCATTAATAACTTTTGTAACTATAGTGGAAAAAATAGGGTGGTTTGCATTAATAATAGACATAACTGGTTGATGTCTGTGCGACCTGAGTCAACCGTGACCATGGGACCTGTAATGGGCTTGAAACGTTGGTTTGTTTGAAAAAACAAATATACGCAGTTTCAATCCGTAAAAAATAGTTTCGTGTCCTATAAAATATTATTTTTATTATTAAAAAATTACGGGAAGGCCAACTAGCAATGGCGATATAGTAAAAACCAGTTCCAAAAGAGATCAAAATTTGTTTATTTTTCCCTGTTGTTCACTCACATAGCTCACACGCCTATAATACATATATATACATATACATATATATATATATATATATATATATATATACACATGTATATATATATATTTACTTATATATTTAAATCTCATGCCCATAGGAAATAACATAACTTACTCATCAGCCTCTGTCGTTGTTGTTGTAGGAGTAGTAGTAGTAAATAAAACAGTGGTACCGTAACATGGTCCTAATCTCAATACATCTACAACTGAAACACATACAATTGAATTTACCATTCTATCTATTTATGTTTGTGATCAAAACTTGTACCATACCTTTAAAAGAGGTAAAGTGTTTATTAAAACTAACCCCTTTTACAAATACAACTTACCGACTGAACAAGTCCTTGCACAAATGAGATTTGCGATACTGTAATATGTGATGCCATTTGTACCGCATACAGGGTGATAACCAGATCTCATTGGACATTTTTGAAGACATTGGGTTATCGTTTGCGTCGCTGATAGTAGGTGGATTCTGAAAGGTACAACACGCAGTACAACAATACTTTAATAGCTAGTCATAAAGAAGGTGGAATAAAAACTTGAGAGCACAGATCGAGTTCTTAGGTTTTCATGATAGTTACCCATATTACCAAAAACTGAGCCTACCTTAAAATTATGAGGAATGTTTTTGTGGCGACAATATTTACCATCACGAAAACTTCATACAATACCAATACACAAACACACACACACACGACACACATTCACTCATAGAAACATATTTATCACAATACGCATTTAAAATGTATCCAACTTATAATAATTATTAAAAACATTACTAGAATTATAATAAATTCCATAACTCTTTGTTTCTCCTAAAATGGACTGTTTTTTAATACAAAGCGACTTTTTTTAATAGTATCAAGTGACGGGGCGAACAAGTCGTGTAGCTGGGGGTAAGCTACAAGCCTGTCCATAACAGTTGCAGTGCCATTCAGAGCTTTAAATTGCAAAGTTCTGAGGGGCACTGCCACTGTGCCTGTTACCCTGAGACATAAGTTGACAAGTCCCATGTGCCTGTTATTTCACTTTTTTTTGGGAAATTCACTCCATTAGTTTGTAATTAATGGAGTGTATTTAACAAAACAAAATATAATGGCAGTAAAGCATCGTAACATCCAATAACTTACAAATTATAACTCTCCTCTTTAAACATAAAATAGTTATCGACTTATGTTTGTACAAAAGGTTTCAAACCTCTCTCCTGAAAAATTGTCATTTTACAAAATTTGCTTACTACGCCAAAGGTGCGAAATTGTTGTTGATATACGCACTTAATTGCACGATTTAACTCCACTTTCCCCTTACCGTCACCTGGGGACTAGATGCAGGTTTGGGTTCCACCCGCACCCCTATGTTGTGGATATACCAAGGATATGCACGTTACGTCTCCACATTTATATGGCGAACGGCTATACATGTGAACGGAGTGAAATTCCCTAACTTATTCCACTAGGACCTTTTCAGGGCGAGAATGATTAGGCATTATTTAGGTTTTGGGGCATGCTTCATCGTCGAGCTCATCGTCACTTTCTATCAGGTGAGATGGAGGTAAAATGGGCGCTTGTATCTTATTAAAAAAAACTTATCCAAATTTAAACCTGGCAGATGACTTTGGTAACTTAACACGAGTTTACACTTGAAATTCTGCCTGGGAAGTGTTAACTCTGCACACCTTACGGAATATTCCCCTAAACATGTATATGTAGAGTTAATGTAACGAGTTTATACAACGCTTACCTCATGGCATCATCACTTTCATCTGAAGTTAACAAATCTTCGAAATTCTTATTTACTACTGGATAGCTGGAACTTTGCCCGAAAATTTTACTTAACTCATAAGCGATATTACCACTCCGCTGATACCTAGGTTCATGGGCTCTGTACTCATCGAGGAAGTACAACATATGTGAATCATAATTCAACTCGCGTTTATATTTAATGTCTAGGCACAGACATTTTGAAACTAAGATAACTGAAATAAAATTAAAATCAATCAATAACAATGTTCAATCAGATCGGTTTGTTTTAAAATAAAGTATTCCTTGTACTATGTATGCCGAAATGAGGATACGTTAAAGAGGCTTTATCCAGGAAAACGAAAGCAGCCTATTAATTTAGAAAAAATTGTTTCTTAAATGAATTCAACCGAAAATCGATTTCGAAACTGAAATTTCTCGACGACCTCGGTGGCTCACGGGTTATCTTAACACTTATCTTCCAAAACCCAGCAAACTACAATGAGAAAAGTGCTAGACACCTAACGTGCTTACATTTTTGTTTTTCGTTCATGGTAATTATTATTATTTTATCAGCTAATTTGAATTTTAATTGTTATTTTATTAATTGTAAATTTTAGTACTTTAAAGTTTTGCTTTTAACTAAATTATTATTATTATTTCAGTGAATTTTATATTATGTATTTTGAATATTTTGACGTCTCGATTTTGATAATTTTAATGTACACTTCATATACAATACGTTTCAGAATAATAATGCATATAGAATGATAGTTTCATATCAAACGAACTGTCAGAAGTAAGGCAAAAATCAAATTCATCTAGGCGTAAGCAACTTGTATTTACGCTCGACGCCACGCACACAAATATACAAATAATGATAACATTTCCCTCAAAAGTGGGGAAATTGTTTTAACTTAACTCATCGATCAGGTGCCTACAGATTTGCTCGATTTTGTCGATCGTTACTGTCGATCGACAATGTCAAGTGACAAGATTTTCAAAAATTTATTTTTGGTATGCCTAAAATGGAAATGGCATTTATATCTGAATACACGATGGCAGACACGACTTTCTCATTTCTAAATCCAAGATCGCGGACACGACTTTCTCATTTCTAATTCCAAGATGGCGGACACGACTTACGACGACTTACACGACACAAATAAATGCAATATGGGTAGCATTTTCGAGGTATTTGGGGGTGCTCATTACGAATATGACACTCATTTCTAAATCCAAGATGACGGACACGATTTTTCAAATAATGGCAAGTTGGGTGTCGTTTTCGAGGTATTTGGGGGTGCTCATTAAGAATATGGCACTAATTTTTAAATCCAAGATGGCGGGCACGATTTTTCGAATAATGGCAAGTTGGGTATTTTTATTTAATTCTTATATGAACAAAAACCTAAAAGCGAGTTCAAGTGCGGCTATCGAATTTGACTATATAAATAGCCTGATATTATCTGTGGATAAACACTTGAAAAGTACATGATAATGATAAAGAACCTAACCTGAAAGTTATTTATATACGACTTTGGAGAACTGACGAAGACTTTTTTAGTCAATGTTAGCTGAAATAAGTTTAGTTAAGAACTTTCGAGTCTGGACAAGATCATTTTCTAAAATGGGTATAAAACAAGAATAATGATTTTTTCACATGAAACAAATGAAGGCAAATGCTAAATATGTTCCGTAAAAATAGCTAACGTAAATTCCCTACAATGTTGTCGCGGCGGCGGTGTACATTTGTAGAAATTTTGCAACCGTCGCGATATTGCCTATTCTCAAAAAATTACGTAATATAATTATTTTGAAACAGAATAGCAAAATAGGGAGAAAAAAATCCGTTACTTTGCAACATTTTCGTATCTTGTTGCAACGAAATTAATTTTCAGTTTTAGTGAATATTTACATGAAAATACAAGTTGAAACGCGTTACTTCCTTGTGGAATGTGATGTTAGTGTCTATTTTATGTTTGTCTGATCATTCATCAGCAAGTCATTTTTAGCAAAAATTTTTGAGCTGTTCGCGGTACAACTTGACCTTGAGCACTGGCAGCCCGCCCGCTCGGGAACAGGGGAAACCCATACTATTATGAGTGGTTTTTTTTTTACAATACCAAGCGACGAGTCAAAGAGGTCGCACGCCTGGTGGTAAGCGACACGCCTATCCATATAGTTATTAATTTGTTATTAAAATAGGCGCTTTGTCGTCGAGTTGCGGTTATCAGCCCGTTGCACCAAGTACCAAGTACCAATTTGTTATTAATATAGCAAAATTGATATTTAAATTCCTGCTGTTATTTTGCAAACAAATGTACTTAAACACTTACCAAGAACTGAAAACAAATTTATTATATTCATTTTCAAAATTCACTGCACTCACTATCTCTACACTCCTCTTTATGCTTAATAAAAACACCAAATCTTTACAAACCTATGTGTATTATAATTAATCCAATTTTAGTAACTGCGTTCACTTGTATCAGCAAGCACAATTGCAATAGAAATTTGTAATAGGTATTGTTATTCATTTCATGCAAGTAACAGAAACCGACTTCTAATTTGTGATCAAAAACAAAGCCATTGTTTTACCAATTTCAAAAACCCAATAACTCATAATTGAACGTAAAGAGATGATATCATGTATAGTTAGCTTCGTACTTAAGTTGAGCATCCTTTTTTTTTTATAAAATAAGTGCGCATGTGGCCTCCATCTCACCTGATGGAAAGTGACGACTAGGTCGACGATGGAGCATGTACACCTAAATAACGCCTGTATTTACTTTTGCCTTGAAAAGACCCAAGTTATAGCGTTCAGGGAATAAGTCTGTGACAGTGTCACCTCCTTACACCGTGATCTCACGTTTTTGTATCGCCTCCCTCCGCTTGTATGCTATCATTTTTTTATTTTACATGTATTTAAATTTTAAATTTGAATTGTTCCATCTTCCTTCACTTTCTCATTTTGTTTTCGTACCACCGTCACTCCCAGCTCGACCGCCACAACAGTCAGAGCCGTTTCAAATTCCATCGCGAATAATCGGTAATTTTGGTTCTTTACTACGTTTATAATCATTAAATAAGCTAAATCATGTGTAATAATTTATAAGTCTACAGCCTTCATGTACCTATATCTGCAATTCAGTTACTCGGCCCATTTAGGAGTAAGTGCCTTTATTAAAGTGTAGGGAGTGTTTTTTACTGTTGTACCTGTTTTTTTACATTTACCTTTATATTTTTTCAGCCCTTTCTTTTAACTTTACTTCTTTAATAAATTTTGTAGACCGGAAGTTTCCCGTTTCATTGCCGTGAACCAATTCACGGCTAGTTAGGGTTACAACCCTTTCAAGTCTACCGGCAGGGAATTGAATTCCACAGCTGTTCGCCATATAAATGTGGAAGCGAAACGCTTCATGTGAATCCATGCAACATCCATTTTTAACTACCTCCGTAGTGGTTACCATGCTGGGCTGCCATGTAGAGGTCCCAGCTTCGAGTCCCGAACCAGGAGAAATATTTGTATGGCCTTTATTTATTTATCTTGTGTGTTTGGGTGTAAATTGTGATTGTCTATGTGTGTGTCGGTGGCACCTGCGACACGTGGTATGGATGTGTGCTTTATTATTATTATTACTAACCATAAGGTATGGAATGAAAGCCTACGTCAAGTCCTCAGATGATGGAAAGAAAAAGGCGGGATTAAGCCAAGCAATACCGTGGCACTCTGTGCGTGATATATCCTATAGATTATATTATCCAAGTGAGGTTCTATGCCACATGGTTGTCATCGGTGATATGATCAAGGAAGGCGTGTTTCTCACTGCATACGCAAAAAACCTGGGCTGGGTAGAAACAGCTATAGGAAAATTTGGGGCTTATTTATTCCTAATTGGAATCTAATCGTCGTCGTACTAAATTATAGCTTCAGCTTTTATGAATATGTCTTTATGTATTCATTACTTTCAATGAATGACCTTAGAAAAATACCCGTATTGGATATTCCGCAGTTCATCAACGATGTGTCGATTCTAAAAGAATCGTTTGGAAATTTGCATATAATGAAATTCTTGTGATAATTATTGTGTTAGTAAATAAGAACTATTTACCAACACAACAATTATCGATTAAATACGAAGTTGATCGGAATAACCTAACCTCAGTACAGAGTACTAAGAAACCGCCCTCAAAAGTACGTGGAAGTACACGTACCAAGTTTTATTGAAATCGGGTACCCGAAGTGCGCAAACCCGGATATATCCCCTGATTCGCCACTATACGGGACTTGTCACAGGGGATAATATAAATCGAGTTCTGACTACTCAAAGTATATTGAGAGAAAAACGCCTTGAATTGGAGAATAGCAAAATCAACTATTAAAATAATTGCTCCTTATAATAAAATTTAGGCGCTATTTATAAAATCATCATGCGCGAACCCTTAGAGGTGGATGATTTTCTTCAAATTTAAATGGGACCACTATGGAGGTACCCTCTTTAGTAAGAATCATAAAAATCGGTTCACAAATACCGGAGTTATCGCGTAACATACATACAAAAACAACATACAGTCAAACTGAGAACCTCCTCCTTTTTTGATATCGGTTAATAAAGATTAGAAGACCAAGTGTGGAGTTTTACTTAATTAACTACAACAGAACAATAATAATTTATTTATTTATTTTATTTATGCCTATACTTTTTTGCACAATACAACATAGTACAAATTAATGCCATAAGGCATTCGATATTAGTCAACTAATAGGTTGGTGCTACACTTGAAACAAAAATAACAAGATGGTACTATAAGTCAAAATTGCATTAACTTATTATTATTATATACTGTAAGTCAAAATGTAATAGTCAATTTATGTTTTTTTTTTATGATAGCGACACGCCTGTTCATAGCGGTTCCAGTGCAACTCAGAGCTTTGTATCGCAAAGATCTGAAAAGCGCCGTCACTGCGCCCGTCGCCCAGATACATAAGTTGACAAGTACCATTTGCCTATAATTTCACCAGCAGCCATGCATGCAATTCAGAACCAGAGCGCAGTAACACTAACATAACCGCTTGGCAGCAGAAATAAGTAAGGTGGCAGTACTTCCCCGGAAAAGCCCTTTCACAAGAAACTTTTCTGCTACTAGAATAATAAAAGCGTATT